ATATGTATATAGTTTCAAGAATCTTAATAAAGTACTAGCGTAACTGCTTAAGGTTTAAAAAAAAAAAAAAAAAAATAGTAGTGATCTAAAACAAAAGAGACTGGCTAAAGAATATTGACCAAAATGAAAACAACACTTGGGCTTTAGAAAACATATATAATATTATAAAAAAAATAAATAATAAAAAAGAAAACAACAGGAATAATTATATATTAAATGAAAAACATGATAACAACAACATCTCAGATAATCAACTAGCATGCAAGGCTACACAAAGCTATGCATCAATCACTAAACAAAACATGAGCTTGTCTACTAAGTTGAAATGAGAAAAATCAACCTTTGTTACATTTTCTTCTAGAAATCAAATTAGATTCAAAAACAACAGTATATTGATTGTTAAAATCACAGAACTTCGCAATTCTCTTAATAAAATTATAGTTTTTTTATATGAGGATATAAGAGAAGACATAGTTGCAGCCAAGCAACACTTTAAAAAAGGCTTAAGAACCTATCTTGAAATCATATTTCCAAATCAGAATTGTCTAATGTATTATGCAACTAATAAAATCAAAATTTTTAGAAAAACATACTACAGATATATTTTTACAAATATATACAAATTCTTTTTGCCAATTAAGATTAGAAATGTGCCTTTAGATATGAAAAAACACATTTCTAATTAGGTCAAAGAGGCCTTTCAAGACTTTGAAAAGATTACATCTATTAAATTATTGCTTATTAAAGGTATATCATATTTAACAAATCAATAGATAGTTATCTTTAATAATACAGATAACCTAGAACTTAAAAAAAGAATCCTTTGCTTTACCTATATAGAGAACAACAGAGTAACTATGGAATAGAAAAAAGCTTCTAAAGTATGTTACTTCTATGATCAAACTGGCTATATTAAGAAAACTATATACAGTTTCAAGAAGCAAAAAATCTAAAAAAACACTACTAAAAATATAAAAACAAAAAAGCTCAAATAGAAATTTTTAGTAAAAACTTATTTAAATATACTAGAAACTACAATAAGAAAACTTCTGCAATGCAATAAACAGTACAAAATACTGACATAAAACTAGCATTCTCTCAAGAACAAACAATTCTTTTGGAAAAGAAAATGCAAAAAAACAACAAATTTATTAATACAAAAACTTTATCTGTGAAAGAAAGAAATATAGATAACTTTACAGAAAATATGATTTCAGAAGAAACAATTGCAGACTCTTAAAGCCTTCAAACTAAATATTAAGAAAATACAAAAAACATACTCTTTACCTTAGTTTTATATAAAAAAAGAAGGCACAAAGTATCAAAATCCTATAAGACTTCTAATAAAGAAAACCAACAAGATAAACTAGGACAAAAAGCATGAAATAGTTTCAAAACTTACTAGTTTTATTATGAACAATACATCAATCAAGATAGCCACTCTAAATGTTAAAAAGTTAAATAATATAGACAAATGATTTAAAACTTTGGCACTTTTAAAATTTTATAGACTAGATATTATTCTTTTACAGAAAATGAATATATTTAACAATGCAACTTGACAATTCTTAAAAAATAAATGATTTTTTGATTCAGTCTGAGTAGGCAGAACAGCAATTCTAGCAGAAAACAGAAATAAAATTTAAAGAAACTAAGATATTACAAGAAGACAGAATAATCTCACCTTTAAGAAGTTTTCTTTCTATATAATTAATGTTTATACTCCATCAAACATCTTAGATCGAACCTTATTTTTTGACAACTGGGCAATCAAAAAGAAAAATAATATGATTAACATTCTGGCAAAAGATCTAAACACAAATATAGACTTAGAAGTTAATAAAATAAGCCAAGCAAGTGCTCAAAATAATCCTTCAAGATTACTTCTTAAAGATATTGTAAAGAATTTTATAGATTCTGCATCTTTTATATCTCAGAATCCCTTTTATACTTTTTATCAAAAAACACATAACAATCAATTAATAGCTACTTAATTAGACTATATTTTTATAGATGAGAACTATAGTCATCTAAATTTAGAAACAAAACCAAGATTTGTAAATTCAGATTATCTATTAGTTAAATATGTTTTAAGTTTAAAACAAGAACCTAAACACTCAGCTCTTTGAAGATTTGATATAAACTTTTTTAAAAACAATGATCTAAAAAAAGAGATTCTGAATATAATTCAAGAAGTTGCCTTTGCAGCAAACTGGAATATATATAAAGTTTATATAAAATCTATTATAAAAGCTTTTAAAAAGCCTAAAGCATCAGAAGATAAAATAGAAAGACTAAACAAAAAACTTAGTTAAACAAAAAAAGTTATAGCCATAAACCCTGACCAGACTCATCTTTTTACTATATTAGATATACTTGACTCACAAATTCAGTTTGAATTAATAGAGCTAGCAAATAAATAGTAATAATATTCAAAAGCAAACTGGATAGAATTAGGAAAAAAATTCACCAAATACTTTTATACTCACTTTAAAGCTAGAAAGTCACATGCAGCTTTGGCAGAAATACAAATACCTTTTACTCAAAAACAACATAATGAAAAAAAGTACTCAACTACATTAAAGAACAATATACAAAAATATATAGCAAAGAAAAAATTGATAACACAATAGCAAAACAAATCACCAAAAATTTTTCACAAACCTTTGATCAAATAAACAACAAATTAGTAAAATGTATCTTTCAAGAAAAAATCTTAGAAGTAATCAAAAAACTACTTAACAACAAATTTTCAGGATTAAATAGTCTTACTTATAAGTTTTATAAACTGACTGAAGAACATATTACATCTGTTTTAGAACAAGTCTTTAATCAGGTTTTAGACTTAAAAATACTGTTATCTTCATAGTATAAAAACTTAATTATGCTAATATTAAAGAAATTTAAAGAACTTCATAATATAAACAATTAGAGACCCATATTACTAGTTAACTGTGATGCAAAAATTTTTATAAAAATTGTTGATAACAGATTAAACCTAATATGCAGTGAAATAGTACCTTTATATTAGCAAGAATTTATCATAAACAAACTAATTACAGACTTAGCTTTGAATATACTTACAATTCTAAGAAACCGAGATGATAAATCCAAAAAACACTGAATGCTTTTTGTTAATTAACAAAAAGCATTTGATAGAATAAGTCATAAATTTTTACAAATAGTTCCTAAAAATATGAACTTTACCAAAAAATTTAGAAACCTAATAAAAAATCTTTTTAATTGACAAGAAGTCTATATATTGGACTCTGAACACATTTCAAACTTCTTTAGAATAGAAAGAGAGATCAGACAAGGTGTCCTTCTCTCACCTCTACTATATATACTTGTATTTGAACTTTTGCTAAACATGTTAGACAACAAATTAACAGAAATCAAAATTGGTGATCAATCTTCAAATATGCATCATATGCAAATGACTTTACGATTGAAATTAGCTCACATTCAGACTGAACAACAATTTTAGACTTGTTCAGCAAATATAAAAAAGCTTCTAATAAAAGAATTAACAAACTTAAAACAAATCTAATGCCTCTTACAAATATAGCTAAAAGTATAGAACTTCCAGAAGAAATCTGCTTTAAAAAACTTAAGAAACAAGATGATATTATAGTTTTAGGCTATAACATTACAGCCAATAGTATACTAAAAAAAGTCTGTAGCAAGAAGCCATAAACAAACTTAAACTAAGCTTAAAAAGGCTTACATATAGAAACCTGTTACTCAAAAAAAGAATTATGTTTACAAATTCTTTATTTTTATTAAAAATATAATACATTGCATATCTAATATTACCAAATAGAAAACAAGTTGCAGAAATCAACAGACTTATTACATTTTGGGTCAAAGGCAACTTTAAAATGCTACCAAGATACTTTACTTTTTAACAATTATACAAACAAAATGATCTACAAGCTCCAATAGTTGGCAACTTACTAGAGGCTAAACTACTATCAGTTTGAACTAAACTAATTTTAAGTAATTTTTTATAGGCAAAGGTAGAAAGAAATAGAATCTCTTTTCTGCTTATTCAATAAAGAGATATCTTAGTACAAGAGGTGCTCTTTATACAGCTTATTAGATTAAAAGCTGGCCTACAGAATAAAAACTCTATCTTCTGGTCTGAAAAAAAAAAAAAATTCTTAGAATCTAACTGGTTATAAAGCCTAACAGAATTGGAAATAGATAAAAAAAAGTTACTAAAACATTAGTTAAATTTACAATAGAACTTTTAAAAACTTAGCTTTAAATTAGTAAATCAAATAGATCCATAGCATATTTACAAAACCAGAACTAAATTTTTTAGAAAGCAATACTAAACAAAAAGAAAGACATACTTTGGTAATTATTTTACAAAACTCTATTATTAGGATACAAACTTTAATACTTTGTATTAACAAATTTAGAAGAATGCCTATAATGTCCTGAAGAGATACAAATGATTAAGCACTTTGCTACAGAATTAGCAAACTAATTTGAACTAAAGCACACAAATTCTTAAAAACAAATCAAACAGAACCTATACCTAATACAATAGAAAAAATTTTCTTAAAAAATGTTACTGAAAAAACAAAGATATATAGAAGTATTCTATAACTATATATACATACTATATATGAAATCTGATGCTATTATGCAGCTTATAAATAGGATGACATACAACACTCATATTTAGTACTCTCTATAATTGCAAAGAATAGAATCTCTAAAGAGATTATGCTAATTTATGACAAATGTTTCATGAAGTCTATTTATAAAAAAATATATAAATAGTTAATTTAGAATTATTTTAATATTTAATTAATATTGCTATAAATAGTACTTAATAAAAAAGAGCACTACATGCACTCTATAATAATTGTAAAAACATTAGAGATAGTTAAAAAAAACAAACTTATAAGCAGATTTTAGGTATGATAGCTAATGTAAAACCTTTAAATAGAAACTATTTAAATTAGATAATAACTATAAAATTTTAAGTTATAAGTGCTTACCTTAATACTTAAAAAAAAATAATAAATAAACAGAATAAATTATATATAAAATATAATAAAAAAGATAATATTTATATTAATAAACAAATATATACTAAAAATAAAAATAAAAATATACAATATATTAATAAATAAAAAAACAATTATAAAATATAATAATAAGAATATATAATAAACTTTCAAAAATTAATCTAATATGTAAAAAAAAATAAAAAATTAATAAGTAATAAAAAAAGAAAAATATAAAATAATAAGAAAATAAAAACTTAAACAAAAGAATGTGACAACTTAGTGAAATAAATAAGTTGTCAACTCTCTAAGTGGTAAGTTGAGAGTTCAAAACCTATTAACAGCAAAAATTTAGATAATTATCTATATAATATATAGATAGTATTATAGTAATAACATTTTGTTAATCAGTTAAGATAGAATACTTGTAACTATGATTATATCAGTATAACTGACAGATTATAAGATATCTTGCAATATTAGAATTATACAAAAAATGCAAACTAGCATCAAGTAATGTAAACTTAAGATAAGTCCTTGTAATCATATAAATTTGTAAAACTGAAAAGCTAAAATCCACTTAAGAAGATCTGAGCAGATAGGTAATATAAATCTTCAACAGTATTACTATAAAGACTAAACTTAAAAAATAAATATTAATATGAAAGAAATTAGGCAAGGAGAACCTCAGATAAAGGATACCACTAACCAAGTCATTAAAAGTCTTGAACTGAAGAAAAAAGATTTTGAAAGACAGATCTCAGAATATTAAAAACAGATTATAGTTCTTCTAGACTATTTGAATTGAAAATCTGAAGACTAAAACAAAGTATAATTTAAGTACTAAGAATATGCTATAAAATTAGTACTAAGGTTTGAATAAACTTTGCAAGAACAAGCTCTGTTAACAAAAGATTAAATGTGTAAGTAGTTAGTTAGCAAGAGGACTTCTTAAAACCTTATAATCAGATAATGTACTCTAAAATATGTAATAGCTTAACTGATGTACAAACAGAAAGGTCAGAGTAAGTTAACTGGCACTTCAGTGTATGAGAACTTGTATAGTTATCTGTTAGGTGTAGTATAAAGATCACCTTGTACAAGTTATATAATTATAATTAAATTACAATAAAGGCAAAAGTCACTAATAACTAATGGTCTTAGTGAAAGCAAAAAAAAAAAAAAACTTAAACAAAGAAATAAGTGTAAAACTTTTAAGTTATATAAACAATAATCAAATACATAAATAAAAAACATAAAAGACTAACAAAAAATTATACAAAAAAAAAAGAAGAAAAAATAAAAACAAAAGCAGAAAAAACAAATAAAAAGAATATAAATAAAAGATCCAAAATAATTAAAACAGATTAAAAAAAATAATAATTAGTTTTCTAAACAAATTATTCCTTTATAATTTCAATGACTAACTTGATATAACTTTCTAACCAATATAATGCATTAACTAATATAGCAGACACTTCTGAGTATTATAATTTTTATTGTTTTAAAAAAAAACAAATAACCTTCAACTTTATTAGTCTTGACAGTTTTAAGTTACTCTTCCAAATCAATACTTTCAACCTCAATAATCTTGAAGATTTCAGATCACCATACACTAGTTTAAATATGCTGTTGAAAAGCTAATGAACGATTTCACCACAATTCCATTATAACAGTTTTGACAAAACATATTACCTATTCTCACATAATCTGATAAAGTTTTGTTAGTTTGACCTTTGACAATAACATTTTCGGTTATCTTTTTCCAAAATGTTAATTGCTAGCTTTGACAAAACGTAATAATACACCTAATCATCTTTAAAAAAAATTTGGTTTTCATAGATAAAATGATGAAACGTTGCAGTTTAAAAAAGTAGTTACCAGGCAATTGATTTATATCAGCCAATCAGGCGAAAGTCCTCCTATGACATAATATATAAACTAATTTGGACATGTCCAAAATTGTTTCAAAAACCCATTACTGTTAACGTTTAATACAGTGATAATAAGGGTTTAACTACACATATTCAGCTATAATTTCGATTTTATTAATGTTTGTCTTTTCACCAAGGAGCTTCGTCCTTCACAGAAGCTTCGTCTTCAGCAGGGGGTTTTGTCATTCACAATTTCGTCTTTCAGGAGGTTAGGATTCGTCTTTCGTCGTCTTGTAAAATAGGAAGGTCTAACAACTATGGTAATATTCCAACAGAAACAAAATCACCTTTTCTCAATATGTTTGATGATTCTTTAATACGTTCCTGGACCATGATTCGTAAAGTGACAAAATATGGGTTCATAACTTCAAACGAATTAAGAGTAAAAGGGCCAGTAATCTTAATCAATGGCACATTATTTTTGTGGAATGTACCTCAAGGTAGTTTTGGACAAGAAATAACTAGGATAGATAATGTGTTTAATGGATGGAATAAAGATTTTCTGAAAATTTTTGAAATTATCACACCAAAACCTGGTAAAAAAAATTTGATCTATTTTATTTTTAAAAAATGGATCGATCATTAAAATATTATTAATGATCAAATGAAATTTTAGAACTTTTGATTTTTGGAACAGGAAAAATGTCTGTTCCGATTCCCCTAGAAATACGAGATTACATCCATAAATTAGGATTACAAATAGAATACTCAGATACGGTACGCCGGTGGTAATGTAGCAATATATAGTTGACTTTCTATAAAGCTATGTTATGTGTGAAATTAATTAATTAATTAATCATCGATTAATCAATTAATTAATTAATTAATTAATTAATTGGTTTCATAACCAAAATCGAAATTAATGACCGTGGAGTTTTTTTAAAACCGACATGCTGGGCCTAGGAATTAACTTTTTATGGTCTAATATAGTGGGTTATTAAGAAAATTCTAAGGAAAGCTTTATTATAGAGAAAGTTGACTACATATCATCAGTGAAGTGTTTTACTAAATAACTATCTTCTTGATTAGGACAACGCGGTGTCAACATTCAATGTTTTGGCCGAGGAAGGTCGAAATGTCGCCGCTGCATTCTTACCAATTAATTCTATACATTATAAACCCCGAGAAATTTAACATGAATTTATTCTGTATCTTATTCTTTATAAGTGTTAAAATAAAACTATCCACTTGTACAAATTATTAAACACTCTTAATACTGTAATATAACGATACAAAAAAAAAAAACAATATGTGTACAATGAATCATTTGCTGGTAGATTCGTTAATAAATTTATTACCAATTTTTGCACCATAATAATAATAGATATTGATTAGTATCATATAATATATAGTGATATTTGTTTGTTGATAATTCATATAATTCATTATGCAACTTTTCATACATAATGAATTATTTTTTGGAATTGAGTTTGGGATAGTTTTTGGATCTCTTGCAGTATAAGAGTATAAGTGACACCACTAATAAAATGTATTATTAATCAATTGATTTAGAATAGGTGTCACTCATACTACAAGAGATCCTTTAATTCAATTTCAAAAATTGAAGCATATGTTCATTAAGTAAAAAAATTGCACAGCTAATAATAATAATTCAGCTATAGGCTATACTAACTAGTGAACTCAGAAATTCGTCTGATTGGCTAATGCAAATCAATTGCCCGGGTACGTTGCTATTAACGTTAATGTTAAAAATTTTAATTACTGAATTAATATATATTTATACAACAATAATATACGTACGTAGTAAATGTTTAGCTGCGACATTAATTTATCCGACAAATATTTCCCGACATCTAAGGTTGGACACGATTTAGAGGTAGCGTTGGTAGGAATTAGACGGCGGGAAATAATTGTCAGGGAATACATAAGATTTTTTTTTATTTCACTACATTATTCTAAGTTAGCATTATCTGAAAAAAAATTCGGGTACGTAGTGAAATTTTGTCCGATTGTCTGGGAAATACTTAATTTAGAGTTAAATTGTGTAAATTGTGCATATAACTGCAGATGTACATATCAGATTCTAACGCTAATACTTTTTTTAAAAATATGATCGAAAGTACGTACGTACGTACGTATTCAGTTCATTGAAATACATATGTCAAAATACGTAATAATTAATTATTTATAGCAAATGACTAGAATATATTTGGAAAATATATTTGATAAACCACCGAAAGCTATGTAGAGATATAGAGAAGATTTACGTATGTACGTATGTACGTATATACGTATATACGTATATATCTGATATGTGTATAAATACGTACGTACGTACCGGTACTTACTGGTAATTTTTCTGGGACCATTGAGCTAAGCACTTTTTCTTTTGACCAAGAATTACTAATTTTGCAGAATAAACATGGAAAAGTAGAATCGTCACAAGAAATGATAAACGAATATTGTCACAAAATAGATACAATAGAAGTATACAATGGTTTGATCAACATAAGAAGGAAAATTTTTTTTGGCAGGCATGAAATTCACGCATTAACATGCACAAAAATAACAAAGAAAGCATGAGGTGAGAAATATTTAAGATAAAGCAGAACCGAAGCAAGAAATAATACAAAGGAAAACTAGTCACGTGTGAATGCATTTATTGAGAGAAATAATAAGAAAAAGACAAAATGACCTAATTGGGCAAAGAAACAAGAAATAGAGAGATTGTGCATGAGAAAAACAAAGGGAAAAGGAATAGGTAAATGTAAATAAGTAAAGACAATGATAACAGATAATAAGAACAAATAGGGTAATAATGACAATCTGTTCAATCTATTGACAACAATCTATTGACAATCATTTCAGATAACGATAAAAAACAAAGGTGAAATGATAAATGAAGGACGTGACAAAGGAAATTAAACATTCATTAGTAGCATCAAAGATTATATCAGAAATTAAAGTATATTTGATATTGATATGGATTATGTGCATAAACGAAATAGGATAACGAAATAGGGTAACGAATAGTAATGAAATAGGGTAATGAAATAGGATAACGAAATAGGATAACGAAATAGGGTATGCGCGTAATATCAATACGAAACGAAAGACGCATCGAGTGAAACAAATCAAGGAGGTAAATGAGTAAATAGCCGATAGAATAAGAGTATGACATAATAATAACATACAGACAGATATATAGTTAATTATCTATAGTCATGTAGACGCAACAAACAAACAAACAAGTATAAGACTTTAAAAGCGAACGAGTAAGGAGGTTTAAAGACGATCTTGCATTAATATTGCATACTAAATATATATAAAACGCACGCACCTAACAGTAAAAGTAAGAGTAAGTAAAAAAAAGGAATAATGATAATAAATAATGATAATAATAAATAATGATAATAATAAATAATGATAATAAATAATGATGATAAATAATGATAATAAATAAAAGTAATAATAACGAAATAATTAACGTTAACGTACGTACGTACGTACTGTGTACGTTATAATCGTTACCTGTTACGTACATAAGGATAACGATAATATGACGAAAAATAGAATAACATTGAGATAAAACAAAATTAATATGTACGTAGTCTAACCATAAATAACGGAGCTACGAAGCTAGGGTGCAAAGGATCAACCTAATTCATAGACAAACCATAATAGACTGTAACATTCTGAAGATCAAGCGTAATCAAGCAATAAATAGAGGTATTCATATGTTTGCAAAGAACAATAGGCCAAACAACAATTGTAAATCTGAAATAAGTAGTGAATGGGAGGAAAAGGGGGTGTTTGATAATTAATACGATTTTTTTAGTGTCAAAATTTAACGTATTTATTAACGTATTTATTATTATTGTGTATTTATTAGTACATAATCATCGTTATGAGTAGATTTATTAGTATATATTTACTATATTTATTAGTATATATTTACTATATTTATTAGTGTATATATATATACATATTTATTTATTTATTAGTTGTAAAATTTAATACAAGTTTTTGACATGTTACCTAGAAAAATTTAACAATTTTAATAAGCAGAAAGAAATGTTAAACCAAGAGTGGTTCTCATCATTTGAAGTACATCAAAAAAACGTGGCACATCATAATAAGTTACACGGACATGATCATCTGATTTTCACCACTTTTTAAAGTTCATATATATTGTGTGAACTCTATTTATTTTAATAAGGTAATTTTAAGGCCTATCAAAGGTTACACGCTTAAAATTAAAAAGCGAACTAAAAATAATTACTTATCAATGAAGAAAAATGTGACATTGATCGGACTACTAATGACGAATGGATCATCAAATAATTCCCGCCAATTTCATAAAACCGGTTTTTTGATTTATCCAATAATGATAATCAATATACATTATGCAAATTGTAAATGCATAAATTATTCACGAATTACATTTAGTTAGTTTATTACAATAATTACGAAATAATTTTGATAATTTTTTTTTTTTGATGAAATGTGAATGATAAACTATTTGATCAAATTTATCGATTTATATCAATTTATCAATTCATCAATTCATCAATTAATGAATTAGGAAATGCCTTTGTATTTGATGACGCCATACTGTTTACATGTTGACTTAAAAAGTTTATTCTTTTGGAAAATTATGAAAGATTTCTTTTTTGAAGAATATAAAAAGATTTAATATATTGTATATCTTATATATTATATACATTAGATATATATATTATGTTATATTATGTTATATTATGTAATTATGTAAGTAAAAGATACCTGATGAGTCAAAAAACCGGAAATTCACCAATCAGGATTGATGCTTAGAAGGATTAGGGGTCACACTGTCCATGTAAATGTCCTTTGTGTGACGTACACCTACGGCTTGTGTTACTCTTTCTCTTTCACGAAAGGTTCGATTCTTGTATAAGCATCAGGTTCCACGTTAACGAAGTAAATAGGGCAAAAATAGTGTAAATAGGATAAATAGGGTAAATAGTGGGGATAGTATAAATTGTGAATAAATTGTGAATAAATCGTGAATAAATGTGAATAAATTGTAGATGATTAACGTAATTAACGTAGATAGCGGGGATAGTAGAAACAGCGGGGTGGCAATCTGTTATCATTCTTTCTTTTAAGGTTTGGTTCTATTATCTTTCTATTAAGGTTTTTGTTAGGCGGTTCACGGGATCATCTACTTTATATAGATATATATCGTTTTATTCTATCGACATTTCTATCGACATCTGATATTGATATTTAATATTGATATTTGATATTTGATATTTGATACTGATTTTTCGATATTTGATATGATATTCGATATTGATATTTGATCTAGCAAATATAGCTTTATAGCTGTATAACCGTGTAGTTGTGTAGCAGTACGTATCGAATGTATAAGTATATATAAGTATATATATAAGTATATATATTATTACTCTTGTTACTCGTACGTACGTACGTATCATCATGTATCAGGTATCGTACGTACGTACGTACGTACGCACGTACGTGCGGTAAAAATTTAGATGTCTTGGTCCTTATATACCGTCGTTATTATAAATATAATTAATTGTTTGACCCGTAGTTTCACGCTTTTTTTTTGCACAGCCCTCATGCTACGTTGCTAGCTACGCCATGCTTGAAAAAAAAAAAAAAGTAAAAAAAAAATATAAATAAATGCTCTTAATTTCTCTGTTCTTTCCTTTCGAATCGTATACAAACTTTTAGCGGTTAGTGAAATTTTAAATTTATAAATATAATAAATAAAAAATTTGATCTACTCATCAATTTATTTGGTTAATATATTTCAATTGAAATAAAATTTATTAAATACTATATATATATTAGACCAATCAGTTTGTTTGTTTCGGTGCCAAACGGTTCGGCGTATAGCTTTTCTGTGTAATCGGTGTTCATCCCGCCAAAAAAAATATATTCAATAAAACAAACAAGAGACAAAAAGGAGGTGTGTTCCATCTAGTGTTTGGTTACCTCCTTTCTTTCTTCTCTTCCGGAAATTGTCGTTTTTTCGCTCTTTCATTATACATATTTTTAGAGTTTTATCGATTTAGACTCGGAACTTACCTTGGTTTTTAACTTTTTTTTTTCTTTTCTTTTTTTTTTTTATTATTATCTGCTTTTCATTTTTCTTTTTCTTTAAAAAAAAAATTTATATTTCCTTAATATACTTCTGATTAAATAGTGAATCAAAACTCTTTTAAAAAATTCAAGTTTTATTAAGATCTTTCTATTACATATCAACTCTAGAAAAAAAAACATCTATTATACGTACATAATATTAAAGATTCAGAGAAGAAACATATCTTACTTTGTCTTATGAAATTTTTTTATAAACCGTCTTATTCTCGTCCGACTTGAGCCTTAATACGGTAATTTAAGTTTAGACGGGTCTACATTTATAGTTTTCTTTCAAACAGGTAAAGTTAACTCCACATTTCATATGTGCTCTAAACCTTAAAAGAAACTGTATCGACTATCATTTGGCTTTATTGCTTCTTTTTTTATCCACCTGCGTATTCTTTTTTGTACTTTCTTTCTCGGCCGCAATTTTTCCTATTTGGCAATTTATTAATGTATGTATATATATTTATATGTGTGTGTATATATACTATTTATACTGTTTATGTATCTATATCCATATCTATATATATACACTCGAACTTGTCTTTTTGAACTAGTACTAGTCTTTTTTTTTCTCTCTTCAATCTTTCTCATCTTTCGCATCTATCTCATCTTTCGCCTTTTTGAATTCGTCATTCGAATTTGCCATTTAAATTTATCATTACATCAGTTAATTATCCTAGATTAATATTAGATTTTATTTTGATTGATTTATTTATTTATTCATCCAAAATTTTCTTCTTTTATATTACTTGATCATGTCCGAACAGCATAACGTTCATATTTCCTCTTCTCAAGAGCTATCCCAGGAAGATTCTTCCTCTTCAATCGAACTTATCTCTACTGAAATCGCCGAATCTGATCAAGTTATTGTTACTACAACCAAGGAAGTGCCTATTCTTGTCGAATCTATTACGGAACATTTATTACTATCCCCTCTTCCTCCTAATCATCCTTCAACTATTGCCAACAATTCTGTTTCCGTGATAAGCTATTCTGATAGCTATCCGGAAGGGACTGTTCATCATAAGAAAGGAGCTACCGAATTAATTAATCTACCGAATCAATCGTTTAATAATAATAATTTTATTTCTTCTACTGCTTTATACGACAACTCTATCCAATTATCAAATTCAATGTCTTCACAATTACAAAATCTTAATTTTGATGTTATACACGTTACCAGCTCGGATGATAATTATCCCTCTCGTCAGCTCTTACCAAATGATAATGCTGATGTTAATGGTACTAAACATGGCAAAGGATGGCAATCAAAAAGGTATTTTATATTTATATTTCTATATTATTTATATTTTTATATTTTTATATATATTTGTTATTATATATTTTTTTATATTTTTATATATATATATATTTTTATATTTATATATATATATATATATTTATATTTATTTATATATATATATTTTTATATTTATATATATATATATATATTTATATTTATTTATATATATATTTATTTATATATACATATTTTTATATTTATTTATATATACATATTTTTATATTTATATATATGTATATTTATTTATATATAATATATATATTTTTTTGTTTTTATTATTTTTTATTCATTTTCTTCTATCGTTCAACTCTTCTATTTTGTTAGACGTTGTACATATCCTCAAGAAATCGTATTACGAGTAACTTGTGGGACTGCCCGTGTTCGTAAATTACAGATATTATCACATCATTATAAAATTGCCTCAAAATTAGAAATATATGTAGGTTCAATACAACAAAAAATCTCAATTAATACTAGTGATAATGATAGTATTGATGAAAAACGGACTTTATCTTGGGATAAATTACCAAAAATTGTTGATCATGATGGAATAAATTCTGAAATTATTGAAACTGAGGATGATGATTATGTAAAAGATGATGATGATTATGATCTCATAAAATCAAATGGTGAACCTTATATACACTTCCGGCTACTAGGGTATCTATTATTCTCATTAATCTATACAATCTATACAATCTATATAATCTATATAATCTATATAATTTATAAACAATAATTATTAATATTATTCAATTGTTATTGTTATTGTTAATATTATTTGTTATTGTTGATATTGATATTAAAATTAACATCAACAATCACAATTATTATTTATCGATTGTTATTTCATTAATTATTATTTCATCAATTATTATTTATCTTTGAATATTTTCTAATAATTTGTTATTTTCCAATATATTCAATAGTTATTGTGCTTTAGATAGTAATGAACGAGCTAATTACAAAGCCAGAGAATTAAAATCTGTGAAACTTGATGCCGAAGGAGAATTCATCAGATTGGTCGCTCGAAGTTGTCATGAAAATCCATTAAATCAGCATAAACAAGTATGTTTCTACTCTTAATTTTATTCTTATAAATAAATATTCTTATAAATTTTTATTTAAATTTTTCTAGATCGGTATTGTAGCGATAACCGTTATGGGTGAGCCGGTTGACTATTTACTCACCGGTGAAAGTCACAAGATTCCAATAGAGGTATATATTTCATATTCTTTATTTATTTTTTTTTATTTTTTTTTATTTTTATTTTTTATTTTTATTATTATTGCTTGTTTACATATTTATCTTTATATTTAGCACGTGGACGAAGGTTTATCACGTGTAGCTTCGCCTGAAACTTGTATCGTCCCTATCGACTCCATGACAATTGACTGTAGTCAAAACGATCATCAAAATTTTACCTCATTATATTCCATTCTTCCAAGCTCTTCGTCAGCAAATAACAGTTCTACTGCCCTGCCCGATCAAGTAGAAGTAGACAAGCCCGCTACAAGTCCAGTAACTTCTCCAAATGAGTTCATCTTGTTGAATGCTAAAAATACTGCGGATTTGATATCAGCTTTTGAAAGGGCAAAGCAAAACGCTGTCAAAGGTATTATTATTATTATTTATGATTTATTATTATTATTATTATTTCTTATTTTAATTTATATTTTTTTTCTCCATCATAGTTGAAGATTTTCGCTTGGCTAAAGTGTTAAAATTCGCAATTGGACTAATAAAAAATGTAAATTTTCAATTTTATTAATTTTTATAATGTTTAGAATTTTATTAATTCTTATGTTTAGAATTTTATTAATTTTTATAATTTTTATTAATTTTATAATTTTTATGATTTATTTTTTTATTTTTATAAATTTCTCACAATGTTTACTCAAAAAGTCTGCTGAAGATGTTAGCAGACTTGACTCCTTAAAGAGACGGGCTATTGACGAAGAAGATTTTGATAATGCTGATAAATATAAGGTAATTATTTCGTTATTTATAATGCAAAATGTTTATAACAAATGCATAAGATTAAATAAATAAATATATATATATTTATATATATATAGCGTGAAATAGATGAAATCAAAACATACATATGTAACTATTTAGAAGAAGAAGGTCTAGATCTTGATGAGTCGGGCGAAGTAATTGTATTGGATTCTTTAGATCCGGAATTGGCTGACATAATTGGATTGGCTGATGATTCATCGGAGGTTAGTAATTAACTTTGAAAAAAAGTGCTTCTTATTCATCATTTACATAAAACAAAAAGAACGAAATCCGATACTTCTTGTCCCTACTTGTAATATCTTGTAATATGACCAATTATGGTGATAATAATTACTATTATTGTTATTATACATTACATTGATAAAGGAAAATTAGGTCAAGTTTGTAGTATAAATATCTTGTAAAATTAAAGGGTCGAATACATTTTATAGTATCTATTTAGTTTTATATACTATATTGCATTAAAATATATTTTTTATTCTTTATTATATTCATCATTTTTCTTGTTGTTCATATTTTGATCGTTTATAATAGAATTTCTATAAATCTCACAATGAATACACTCCTTATGTACCTGGTGTACCTTCTGGAGGAGTTTATCAAGACAAAAATCATATCCCTGTTGGTTTTTTAGATGTTCCACAACGTCAGAAAAGTCGATCAAGCAGTAATTCTTCCACATCTCGAATGTCTAATTCTGGTGTTGTTCTTTCTCCACCACCACCTTTACGTATTCCGATAAATCAAATAGATAGTAGTAATTCTTTTCCAATGGATAGACCTCATCATCCTGAACCTATAAGCCCTACTACTACAAATCCTATTACTCCAACGATTGATCCAATTCAATGGGAACCTTCTGTTGATGATCGTCCTTTACCTGCTTTATCTAAAATTAATCCTGATTTTATACCTACATCCCCTTTAAATGATCCTAATGATAATCAACCTGAAGAACTTTCTGATTTAGCTCGTTCTGCTTTTGATATATCAATACAATATTTTGGAGAATATAATATTGCTTGTCTTTTATCAAAAAAATTTCCTTTACGTGAATCGGCTTTAGTTAATGTTACAAATAGAATTGATATAGATCTTGGTAATGGTAAAGAAATTGAAGGAATTGATAAAGTATGTTTATTATCTATATTAATTAATTAATTTATTTATTAATATTAATATTTATTTATTTAACATTAATATAAATATTAACATTAATATTAACACAAATTTATATATTAATTTATTCTTCTTAGGTCGGGATAATAAAAGCAACATTCCAAATTATACAAGAAGCTTTAAATGATAATCCAGAGAAACTTACTTTACAGGCATTAAATCTTTGGGAAACACTTACAAAGTTCTGTGTTCATCATCAAGTACCAACGTCAACTACATGGAAATTTGTTGATAAAACGTATCAACAATTATTTGGAAAAATGTCAGATTTAAATTCTCGTATAAAACAAAGTGCTATGAATTTATTTATCTTACTTGCAAAAACTTATTATGGTCCAATTCATTCAATAACATTATTGGTTCTTAAACCTGCAAAATATAATAATCAACCTCCAAAACAATCAAAAGCAAAGGTTGAACTTGTGATGAGATTAGTAGAAGAATTTGGTATTGCGTTAGACCTTCCAAAAGGAAAATGTGATAAAGATCTTGGATTAAATCTTGAGGTATATTATTATAATTTATATTATAATTTATATTATAATTTACATTTATATTATAATTTATATTATAATTTACATTTATATTATAATTTATATTATAATTTACATTTATATTATATATATTTTTTATTACATTTATATTATTAATATATTCTACATTATTAATATATTTTTATATTTTATTATTTGTATTAATAGTCTGTTATGCAAGTTTCTGTATCTTACTTGAACAATAATAACGGTGAAGTACGTGATTCTGCCGTAAAGCTTGTAGTTGAAGTTATAAAACGTGTTGGTCGAGAAAAGGTTGAACCTTTCATTAGTGATATAAAACCTATACTTTTGGAGAGTATTCGGAATTTGGTTACTGAATATGAAGAAACTACTGGAAGAATAGCAGGTCAAGTTCCTTCTCCTCCACCATCACCTAAAGTTGCTGCTGTTACAGTAAATGAAAAACAAGATGTTGAAGATTTGGAAGTTAATGAAGAATTATTAAATACTCCACGAGCTAAACGTGGGACTGTTACAAGACTTGAACAAGAATTAAATGACTTACGATCAAGGTTAAACAACACAAATAATTTGCTTAGAGATGATTATAGTACTTATGTCGCAAATACGCCCAAAAAAGTTCAAGAAACTGAAGAAATATTAGAATTAACTGAACAAGAGCAAAGAGAATTAGAAGAATTAGAAGCTGAAGAAGAGCTATTAAATAAAAATAAAAATACTGAAATCGTCCCTGAAGTTCCACAAAAAGAAAAACCACTTACAAAAGGTTCTACAAGAACATCAAATAAATCAGTACCTACTTCTGCAAAACCGTTGACAAGAAAATCAAAAAATGAGACTTTAGCTCCTCCGAAAAAAACTTTAAAAAGTAATCCTCCTAGCTCTAAAACTGGTCCATCCCGACGTGAGTCAACTGATGATAAAAAGGTACCAAAGAAAATCTCTCCTAGATCAACTGATACAACTTTGTGTGAAGAACCTGAACATACCCCTTGTGATTCATCAAAAGGCGATAGGTAAAATTTCAATTAAAGTAATAAAACTAATAAAACTAATAAGTAATAGATTCTTTATTGTGTTATTTATGATTATGATTTTTTTTTTTTTAAACAATAGGTTCTGTATCTTTTGTGATGAGTACAACGAAATTTTCACAGAAGAAAATTTAGTGACACATTATTGGACTGAATGTCCGGTATTGACAAAATGTCGGTTATGTAATATAGTAAGTTAAATTTCTTTCATTTAAATAAATTGAATGAATGATATTCATGCATCTAATGTATATAATGTAAATAATAATTTAAAATTATTGTATATCTTGTAGATCCTTGAAATTTCTACACTTGATGATCATATGTTAACGGATTGTGATAAAAACAAATTTGTTAAACAATGTCCCACCTGTCGTGAAGTTGTTGATGCTGATGATTACCTAGCTCATATCAACAAACAAACTTGCTTGGCTATCAGAGACGATATTGTTCGTTGTCCACTTTGTAAAACTGTAATTAAACCAGCGACCGAAGAAGGTTGGAAATCACATTTATTGAATGCTAATGGATGTCCAAAGAATCGTAGAAAGCCAAACAATAAACCTGACGCTCCTTCAACAGAAAGTTCTGCACCTAGTGGTAAAAAACATGCAGTGAAAAAGACCATTGAAACCGGTTCAAAATCATCTGCCGTTTCTAAAGCTCCTAGTAAAAGTAAAGTTACATCTAGTGGTAGTAGTAAAGACAAATTAAAGAAATCTGCAACTAAATCTCTAAAAATCAGAAAGTAATATTAAGGAAAAAAAAAAACAATGGTTACGATTTTTATTTTTTATGAATATTAAGTTGGGCAAAAGAGGTAATTAGATTTAAGAATATATTTAGTGATCAGGATGTGGGTTAGTTCCTTAAAAAAAAGACATTTTCCAGGGAATCGCGTCATATTTATTCATATACTTTTATTTTTTGACATTATTTATATAGTTTAGTCAGTTCATTATCTCTTTTTTGTTCAAATTTTCTTTTTCGTTTTTTTTTTCTTTTTGGCTTTATAATTAAGAACATTTTGTTCAAATGAAAAAATCATTTAAAAAAAAAATTTTTTTTTTATAAATCAAAAAAGTACGCATTTAAATGTGGGGTAGCAATTTTTTTTTTTTTTTTTGTTTGTTTACAGAGTACATATGTCTATATACAAATTCTTTTAGCCCTATATTTTTGGTTCAATATTTTTGCAATTCGCATTTTTCTTGTACAAGTATCATCATTTATTGCCTTTTTTTTTGGCATCCTAGTCTAATACATTTGACACACGTGACTCACGTTGAATTAGACCCTTATGTATTAGAAAAAAAAAGGTATTTCTAATGAAAAAAAAATAGTTGCCCATTTTTTTTTTTATCATCTTATTTCATCTTATTAATTGTTTTCAAAAAGTTATTGGGTTCTTGTAAATTTTAGTTGGAAAATGCGTGGTTATATTTATTTTTTTGGGCAAGTTACGAATTTTGAATTTAATATGGAGCTATCAAATATATTAAATTTGTATAGTTATGTTTTATAAAGTTAAAATTTGAAAACAAATCGATATTATATATTTTTACTAATAATTTTAATAAAGTGAGTAGTGTGTTTATTTGGAATATATAGTATTTATTTTGTCCACATACATATTTAAATTTCCTTTTTATCAAAGTTCATACGTACGATTACGTAATATAATTTTCCTAGTAGTATTTATGTTAAAATTATTTATGACAAATAATTTTATCAGTCTATTTATCAATTAATTATCGTAAATGCTTCATATCGATAACAATAAATTCTTTATATATTAAAAGTTTACAGCAGTGACAGTGCCCGATCCAAAGTGAATCCCTCTCACCTGTGATCAATCACAAATTAAATTATTTATGTTGGATTCAATTGTGATGGATATAATCCCTTACCAGTTTCAATATACGTGTAACATTAACGGTCTCTGCTGTATTAAAAGTTTTGCACTCTATTAATAATCTAATTCCAAATAAAATTCATCATTTGATTCAAACATTCTATTTATTAAATTATAATTAAATAAATTTTAATATTATTAACTTATTAGTTTTCAATTGATCGAAAGTTTCAAAAAATAAATTTGAAATGTCATTGATTTCTGAAATTGTGAGAACAGATCAGTTTGATTATTTGATAGAAATTCAAGTGAAAGTTTAATAATAGAAGTTTCTAAGTATTTGATAGTAAAAATTTATGATTTGAATCAAAGAAAACTTTGTCAATGTTTGAAAATATGATAGTATTTACTAAATTTTTTAATTCTTGTGAAGTCAAATCTTTTTTATAACGAATTAATTCTTTTTTAATGTTTGTTAAATAATATTAAATTTTCTTTATTAATTTAATATAATAAATATCAAGCTTATATTTATTATTTTTATAAAACCATTCTAATGTTAAAAAGTTTTTTTTATAGTTTAAAGAGTATTTTAGTTACAAGTTTAACTAAAGTTTATTTTTTTTTATCAAATGTAAGTTACTAGCTTAAAGGTTTTTTTTTTTTTTATAATCAAATCAAAATAATCTTTATATTGTTTATATTTTTTAGAATTTTTAATAATTATAGCAGTTTTGCATATTTGTTTAAACATTTTATTTTATTTATTTATTTATTTTTTTGCATTTTCTAAGATTGTTGTTATGATAGCTATTGCCTTTATTGTGTTTTTAAGTATGATTACATAACTTGTATAAAATGAGTGTACAACTAGTTATATATGCAACTTTTGGTTACTTATTTAAGTAATTCACTTGCAGATTCTATATTAGGCTATACAAAATTAATTAATTGATTTTCATAATCTAGTTAGAGCAAAATTTGAAAACTTGCAACAAAAAATTTTTATATATTTAATAACTGGTTGGAATTTTTAAAAAAAATTTATAGAGATGTAATAACTTAGTAAAGTGGTTAGGTTGTCAATCTTCCAAGTAGTAGATTAAATGTTCAAATCCTATTGATGTCAAAAATTTGAATAATCATCTATATAATATTTATATTATGATAACTATTACTAATGATTAGGTTAGAATACTTGTAATAGTGGTTGTATCAGTATGACTGGCAGGTCATAGAACATCTGTGTAACTTATTACACAGAGAAATGCAAACTGACAAATCAGGCAATGCAAACACTAGATAAATCCTTATAGTTATATAAATCTGTTGAAATTAGATAACAAGAAGTCTATTTAAAAAGATCTGAATAAAGAAGTAATCAGATCTTTAATAGTTCTATTGTAAAGACTAGTTTAAAGAAACAGATACCAAGATCATAGTATCTAGTTATAGTAGCCAGATAAACAAAAATCTCTAGATTGAAAGTTTTAGAGAACTACTAATCAGATTATCAAAATGAATTAAAGAAAAAAAATATTAGGTTGACCTAATATACTAATAGACTAGTCATAGTTCTATATAGATTATCTATATTGAAAGTTTAGTAAAAAGACTGAACAAAAAACAAAGATATACTAAAGTATCAAGATTATGCTATAAAGTAGATACTAGAATTTGTGTAAACTTTACAAAAGCATAGCAGTTTAATAGTTAAGTTCTGATCACAAGTGTTGGTTTTATCATAATAATATTTAGATCAGTTATAAAAATAGGTACAGAAGGCTCTGAAAGGTTTATCTTAAGGATAAATTAGTTTTAAGATTGAAATGATAATCTAAATATCTGGATATGCCTCAGTGAGTTAATACAAATTACAGATTTAGAAGATTTAAAGTAAAACATCCAAATAGAAGTATTAGATATAATAATTAGTAAAGAACCTTAAAACAAACTCTTTAAATAGATAATATAGAAAAGTTATATATATAGCCAATTATACTCTCTTTTGTAATAGTTCATAAAATCACATTACCAATAAGTTATTAATAAAAGTCAAAAGATCAAAGAGGTTATTTTAATATTAAAAAAAAATTCATAAAAATTTTATAAAAGTTTTATATGAAATTTAAAAAAACTCTCTTCTGACTAATTGGATCTGTTTAAAAGTTTTATATAAGAGGTGTTAGTAAAAACCAAGCAAATTGTTTTTAAGTAAATTTTTTTTAAACTTTAAAGTAAAATATCTCAACAATTATTAAACCAAACTTGATAATTTTTATTTTATTTTAATTCTATATAGTTATAAAATTAAAATAAAAAAAATTATCAAGTTTGGTTTAATTGTTATTGAGATATTTTAATTTAAAATTTTAAAAAAATATACTAAAAACAATTTGCTTGATTTTTACTAACATTCCTTCATTTTATGAAAATTAATATATTAATTTTATATAATCTTAGTTGCCATATTTGTAATCTGCTAAGAGATTATCTAATTAAACGTTCTAATATCTATATTATACTTAACAAATAGCATATAAGTTCTTATATATCTAAATATTATTTAATATAACATTTAATCTTTTTTTTTGTATATTTGTTAAGTTATTAAACATTTCAGAATATGTCATCTAACTGTAAGGTTTCAAATAGTTTTTTTGCTAATTAGACTATTTATTTTTCTATAAGATATTAATAAAATACATTTTTGCAAAGTTTACTCAAACTCTAGTATCAATTTTATAGCATATTCCTAGTATTTATAGTATATTCTTGTTTTTGTTATCAAACTTCTAATTTAAATAGCTTAGTAGAATTATAACCTGTTTCTGATATACTATATCTAGTTTGATATTTTTTTTAATTTGAGATTTTTAGCAATTTGGTTAGTAATACTTTTTATTCAAGATTCTTGTCTATTTGATTTTTCTACATTGGTATCAATTTTTTAGATTTAGTTTTTACAATAGTATTGTTAAAGATCTGTATTATCTTTCTATATAGATCTTTCTAAATAGAATTCAGTTTCTTTAACTCTATAAATTTATATAATCACAAGAATTTATCTTGAGTTTGCATTACCTAGTACTAGTTTATATCTTTTTATATAACTAAGTTATATAAATATTCTTTGACCTAGCAGTTATGCTAGTATAATTATAATTACAAATATCTTATTCCAACTAATTAACAGAGTATTATTGTTATAATACAGATATATTTTTTTAAATTAATTAAAATTACAAATATCTTATTCCAACTGATTAACAGAATATTATTATTATAATACAAATATTTTTTTCAAATTTTGTTTTCAATAGGTTTTAAACTTACAATCTGCTATTTAAAAATGAACAACTTATATATTTTACTAAGTTGTTACATCTTAATATTTTATTTTTAATTTTAAATTATAATAATAAGAATATAGAAAATATATATAAGAATAAGTCAATAGAAATATATTAAAAATAATTTAATGACCTTAAAATCAATAGCATAATAGTTATATTTTAAAATTACAAATTACAAGATTACTGATTTAAATACTAGTAATAATAATTGTAAAAATGTATTTCTAAAAATAAAAAACTACAATATTATAGAACTAGAAATCCAAGATATTCAAAAATAAACTTATTTCTAAAAATAACAAATAATTTGCAATTGAGAAGTTATATAGTGAAGAATATAAGTTAAAGCTTGATTTAGAATAACTAAAATTATAAAACATAATGTGAAACCAAAAGTTTAACACTTATAGATACTATATAAATTTACTACATCTAGCTAGTTCTTAATAGAGTTGGTAAAATGTTTTAATCTTAGCAAAAATTAGTATAATAAGTTATTTTTAAAAAGTTTAAAAGTATAGATTAAAGAAAATCAAGGTTT